ACCAATATTGACCATCAAACTTGACATTACCAATATTGACCATCAAACCCCGACGTTACCAATATTGACCATCAAACCCCGACGTTACCAATACTGACCATCAAACCCTGACGTTACCAATACTGACCATCAAAACTTAACTTTTATTATCGAAACAATTACCATCAAGACAAAATCCAGTCATAAGTGGTGCTTAACATTTCTGTACAGAATTTTACCATGAAAGAACTTTTTTTTAGTTTTTAACGAGACTTTCTTTTTTAAAAATATACTTCTAATCCAAAAGGGTGGAAACTTTTTACAACTGCTGAACATTGTAAATTACCACATAAACATCTCACTGATGTGAGATAATGCCCTGGAATAGACCATCTCAAATGCTGCTTAATTACAGACTCAGGTTGACTTTATGTTATTCATGTAATGTTACTCCAAGTTAGACATCTGGTGCAAGAGCGACCAGGAATTATAAAAATTGCAACTGACAGTCTGTATATTTAATTTAAAGACTTATTTAAAATTTCACAAGCTCTCAAATAACTAGGGTTTTGCAAGAGCTGCATCTTTTTTCTGTGATGTCTGACACTAGAAACTAATTTACTTCACATCTGCGTTATATTCAAGATCTGAAGAAAATCTTCTGGTTTTCAACGTTGTGAAACAATGAATATGCAGTTCTGAATGTATCTCTCAAGACTATTTGTATACTCTTCCATATGTTTTTATTACATTTTCTTAATATACTGTCACTTGTCTTAAGTCTCAGTTGTCTGTTTTGTCTCTCTAAAGTGTCTAGTTACAGACAAATTCATACTGTGATTTTTATTTTTATTATTAAATGCTATCAAACTGTGATGCACTTATTATTCACTGGTCCTGCATCAGGAGATGAGTGGGGAACCTGTATTAAATACAGTTCATCTGAATAATCTGTCTGGTTTATACAAGCTGTGTTGTTCAGAGATGTCTAAAGTTTGATCTTTGTTTTTTTAAAGATAAAAAGCACTTGCCCCACTGTAAATATATAGCATGTAAAATTTATATAGTATATAAATACAGCAAAGTTAAAATGGATTTTTACTTGAGTTTTACTTGAGTTATTTAACATGCAATATGTCATGTGAATTGACAGCTTTCAGAGTGTGTTTGATACTCAAGAAATCAGATCTTCCTTTCAGTGGTAGGTGAGAAGATGCTGTCGGTGTGACCCAGAGAAGATAAGTAACTTGGGACTTCAGCTGCCTAGACAAGAATGCAGAAGGCTTTCTCCTTTGAAGTTAAAAGCTTCCAAAACCAGGCACCAGGTTGGAAGCTGAGCAGTAGCTTTTTACTGTGTGCAACACTTAAAAAGGAAAAAAAAAAAAGGAGCAAGGTTAATGTTTTACTAAATACTTAAAGTAATATTTTGGTACATGGAGAACACCATAAAGCCAAACCATAAGTGTACCCTGCATAATGTTCCTATGGCAACAGTTATGTGAAGTTACATAAAGTAACATGACAAAGAAACCACCTACCTTTCCTGTATCTGGCTTTTTTTTCCTCCTCTTTTGTCCTTTGGCTCCAAGATCTGGTGTCTTGTCTTTTGTCTGATGAATAACTCTGGCATAAATGTATAAAAGGAGTTTAAATGTTGACTGCTGTACCTCCATTACAAGCTCCAGAAGCCACAACTGCCTGAGCTAGCCAGTAAGCAGTACATGGAGGGAGGGCAGCTCCCGACAGCTTCAGATGAGAGCTACGGAGAAGCAGACTGGGCACCTGTAGCAGCCTTGGCCAGTTCGGATTGGGGGAGCTCTAATCAACTTGAGGAGCAGAGATCAGATTCCTGCCCCCCCCTTACATCTGACTGAAACTCATGAAAGGGCACTGACAAAACACCGCCTTCATTTTGGGTGGCTCTCAAGGGAAACCAGCTCTTAATGGAATAATGCTTGTAGTTGTAGTATACTTTACTGAACCAATCCATTTTGCAGGTGAAGGTTCCTTTCTCTGAAAACTTAAAAGTGGTCA